TTTTCAAAGAAAAGTGCTATTGGTCTTAGCAAAATATTGGTGTGCGCACTGACCTGTTCTAGAAAGTCTTTTGTTTAACTTGTAAATGTAAACTGCAGTCTTTTTATGCATTTTTGAAGGAAAAAACTATTTAAAATTGAGCAACTTTCTAAAAATAAAAGATTACGTTGATTCTATTAATTAATGTAATTTGATTAATTTTGATGTACTTTTTTTCTTACTTTAAGAATTACAATGAGAGTCAGCTTTTGACAATATGGAAACTCTAAATTCGAGTAAGTGAATGTAAGTTGGTGTGCGAAGATTACTTGAAAACAAAAATTAGATTTAATTCAAATTCCACAGACCATGTGAAAGTCAGAAAAACCTTTGGAGATGAAATGATTGATTTGAAAATGAGAACAAATAAATGAGTTAGCAAACAAGAGTTTGAAAATATACTTACTTTGTTGTAATTTCAGAGCAATTTGAGGATATTCTCGATATGCACTGGAAACTAACAATTATTCTAGTGTGCGCATTTGGGATAATCAAAGAATTTCGACCGGCAACTCCATTCCTCACGCCTTACTTAATTACTCACCCCAAGAACTTCACTAATGTTCAACTTTATAGCGAAATATACCCATTTTGGACTTATTCTTACTTTGTTGCTTTGGTATATTCATGCTTTCTCATTGTTCGCTTTGATAAAAAAAGTTGCAAAGAAAGCAATATCATATGGTCACATTAAACTCTAACAACACAACGTTAGAATGATTAGAGTCTTTGCTTGTTGTTAGAAGTAGCAAGTTTTGTGGTAGATGTAGAACCAAGGAACATTTTCATCAGTTTGTTCATAAGCCAAATATACATGCATCAATTGTTTAAATGATATTTTTGTTACATTATATTCAGATTCCGTCCCTTTTCCTTACGGATTTTCTACGTTACAAGCCTGTTGTTGTTTTGGAAGCGGTTACTTTATGCGCAACCTGGATTCTGCTGATATGGGGTAAGACAGTATGGCAGATGCAAATTATGCAAATTATGTTCGGTAAATAATGCACCATTTTTTTATGACAATGCCATCTTATTACTTAGTCAAAATAAAACTGCGTGAAGGAAAATAGTGAATAAAAAAATAAGTCGTAGCTGTCTAAAATCACTGAAACCCTTATTCTATAGCTTGCTAAGAGAAATAAGTTTCATTTGTCGAAAATAAGTATGCCAAAAGATTTCGATTTTTTGTTCTTTTGTATCAGATATTTTTGAGAAGTAATAAGTTACAACCGTTAAAATAATAAACTGTAAATCATTTTTA